CTATATTTTTCCCACCATCACTGCCACTACTATGTTGAGGATTCACTGTTCTGACTGACTGACTGTAGCAATGGGGCTTACAGGCCTCCAGTCCCCTCTCAGTTTCAAGTGCTCCCTAGGACGAGTCAGGCCAGTTTGAGCTGCTTGTCCTTCTACGTTCAGCCAAAGTATAATTCCTCCCCCTCTCACATCACCAGCGTCGACATTATACAGGGAGACAGCTAAGTAATTGCCATCAAACTTTCCTGCTCGCTCCTCTTTCCCTCAGCAGCAGGGATGGGAGGGGTACAGTACAGTAGCAGCAGAAAATATGAACTGCATTCTCACTGAGCACAGACCAGTAGCAGGGAGGCACCGCTATCGCAGTCCACTGCCACAGATGACGGAGAATGGAAGGATCTGTTTGTAGATGCTCATTTTTTTACTCTGGATGGGTGATTTCTGAAGATAGGACGAGTGCGTCTCAGATAATAACGAGCTTTAATGGTGATGAGTAATTTTTATAACTCGAGCCTTGGATTGGCGGATGATATTGGGCTTCCTCAAATGAAGTCTCCAGCACCTACTCAGCAAGAAGAAGATGCTAATTGGGCTGTGCTATTTCTGCGATTCTGGATTTAACATTGTATAAAGGTGTATCTTGTGTCTACAGCATGCTATCTTTAGTATTATGTTTTTTTTAGATTGAGTGGAAAGCAAAGCTCAAAGAGCATGTGTTAAGTTAAAATATATATCATTTAATTTAGGCAATCTTGACTCTCTGTTAACTGTTATGGCAGGGCCTAGACCTAATGTCTCACTTAGCTATAATGCTTCTGTGGTACTTCTGAAAGGAAACACTTCTAGAGCTTACACTAAGTCTTCCAGCCACGCTCTCAGTGGGTGTGTATGTCATTTTGGGAGGTGAGCAGGGTTTGCTACCCAGTATCAACAACAATTTCAATTTTGGCACCTAAAGCAGAATGTTTATGTCCGTGTGGTACGCCAAAAAGATGGGCTGCCGGTTCCTCAACAATGTGCGGAAAGCCAAGAAACATCGACATCATAAGATGGTAGGCATGTTTTAAACATGTTTAGTCTTTTTTTACTATGACTGTACCTCAATGTATTTGAGAAATCATTACGAAATGCCATTGTGCTTTGGTGGCTCAGAAATGGTGCTTGTAGATTATTATTGATGATGTTATTACTATTCGGTGCTCGGTACTACACGGTTATTATTATCATCAATATGGTAAAGTAGCAAGGCTTTGTTTGGCAGTACCATTTCAGATCAAGGCTGTGGCTGCACTTAAGGCACATGATATATTTTAATCACAGTGAGCCTGGGTAATCAAAAGTGGAAATACTAAACAAATCCAACCCCCCCCCCCCCCCCCCACCACCCCCACCACCTCCACCCCCCCACCCCCGGCACCCCCACCCCCACCCCCCACACCCACACACACACACAGACACACACACACAGATGCATGCTACCACCTTTTCCTGCACTCCACACGTGTACATGGGATTTAGAGAGGAGCCAATAAGTGAGCAATGTTCATGATGTGACAATTAAATTAACCTCTGTCCCATCCTGTACTAAAACCTGCACATAAGCACAGGGGTAGCAAAATCACCAGCCATCCAACCTGCCCCACAAAAGCTACACATTACAAAACACTTCACAGAAGTCTTGTCTTCTCATTTCCATTTCATTAACAGCCCTGCACAGCCTTAAGGTAAGGGTCAGTCTTGAGTTACTGGTGCTGTTATCCATCTGTACCTCTTTCTCTCTTAAACAGAGGAGCAGTAGTTTAGATACAGACTAAAACTGTGCAATACCCATAATGCTCGCTAGCTTAATTGTTACTGCCAGCCAAAGCCTTTTCTTCTCAAACACATTCTAATTCATTTGACATTGCGTATTTCAGTAGAGGTCACTGTCATGCTTATTGACCAGATGGCTTTTACCTGTTAAAGGCTTTCCAGCTGCTGCAAGGTGTGCAGGACATGCAGCATTAATGCCTCTCTAATGCAACCTTTGGTTTGGGTCCAGAGCCCACTCACATGTGACATCATCCTCTCTGGTGATATTGAAATATTCTTTGTACACTTGATCTCAACAGGAAAAGCAAAGACAAGCAAGTGATGTTTTAAATATTCTTAGGCTTAACTAAACAGGTGACTGAGCGTGCACAGAATGGGTCAGACAGATGTGCATGTTTTCAGGTGCACATGCACAGAGCAGCAGAGATTGATTGGATTATCTCAGTGTCTTTTGACTCACATAGCAGGAGGGAGTGTGAACGGTACAGCAGGCAGCTACAGCCTTAACACAGCCTGAGATTTATGGTTTCCACTGCTTAACTGCCAATACCAACTCTATTTAGTCAATTCTTAATGGAGAAAAGAAATGTATTCAAACACACACAGCTTCACTCTTTTGCTGTTCTGTTTTGTTGCCTCAGTACAGTGCATGCTCAAATATTGATATATAGTCATTTATTTGGGAAATGACATCACAACGTGGCACAAAACACTGTAAAATGTGGGAATCAGTTAACTAGAAAAATCAGATTAAATCTGTCTTTGCTGTTTTATTTGTCTTTGAAAATGAATATTCTGACGGTTATCTTACTGCATATGAATTCATCAAGAACTAAAGGTCTGGGTGTGGATGGATGTTGGTGCTGCCTGTAGAGACATGGCACAGGACAGGTAAGCTGACTAGGTAGTGCTAAAATAAAGGTGGGCAAGAGCAGCCAAACACTGTAAATCCTAACAACCCTGATGTCGAAAGGCTTGACAGAGCAAAGAGAGGGAGAGAGGGCTCTGTCAAAATCCCTGCAGGGAAACTGCCTGCACTGGGCTTAGATTTCTGCTGGCTATACTCATTATTTCTGTCTCTAGATAAGGATGAATTTGACGTAATGTTCAGCAGCACGGCCCGTTGGACACAGCTACATGGTGAAGCCCTGCACAGGCAACTGTTATAATCGAACAGTGTGCAGTTAAAGCTGAGCTCAGGCATTTCGAGGGCTTGGGGAGAATTGTATGTATTTACCTTATGTGAATCAGTATTTCCTCTTTACGATGGGAGCTATAATTAGTATCATTCAACAGTGATAATGATGATTTCTAATGAGAAAAGGGGCTTGGAGCATAGGGAGGTGGTGTTGTGCGGAGAGCAGGCTTTTTACAGCTCTTATGAGGCATGTTATAGCAGGGAAATCACAGGTGTAATTAATAACCTTAATTACATCATTGTTATTGTGCATGCTGGCTCATTGGGACACTGATTGAAACAAAGCCATTGTTAATGTCATTAGTTAAACCTGTGCTTTTCCTGCAATGACATGTCTGCTATGAAAAAGGCCTATAGTTGCGTAGACACTAGATGTAGCGTTAACTTTTGAAGTTTATGATGTTCCAGTTTTGTTGGCAGTGCTGAAAATGTGTAAATTTAATCACTTCTTTATTACTAAGGACATAGTTAAGGTGTCGTTGTACTGGACTACATTGTACTGAGAGGTACTTGTATTGTTGTATCCTCCCTATTTATTGAAAAAAATACATATATTATAAGCCTCATAAAAGTAGACTTTATTGTAGAGCAGTTGCTTTGGATTGCATTAGTTTATACATGTGTACCTGATAAAGTTGCAACTGAGTGCATAGAACCCAGTTCTAGAGTTTTCAAAGAAAATACAAATCAGTTTAATAATGTATGCAAAACACAGTGAGCAATTCTGCAAGTTCCCATGACAACTTACTAAGAGAGAGTAACAGACTGAGTGAAAAAATAACCCACTGAATCACATAAAGATCACTGGGTAAGAATGTGAAAATGTTTTTCTTAAAAACTGAGAAACTGTGTTCAGTTAGTTTGTGTAGTTGTTTGTGTGTGTCAGAGCTGTCAGGTCTGTGAAGGTCAGCAGGCTGAGTTTATGCTGCTGTTTGCTGTTCTGGAACCACTTTAGATGCACATCGTCTTCCCCATGCTAATCAGCATAGTACATGACAATGACATTTATAAATAAATACAGAAAGTTAGATAAAGTGTCAGATTGTGCTCTCCAAAGAGTTCTGTACATGATGTAATTATATCTTCCAACATCAGATGCCTTGATGATGAGAGTAAGTCCTAAATAAGCCGGAAGAAAGAATGAAAGAAGCAGGATTAAAAGGAGAGAAATAAGGACAGTGTATAGAAGTGCTGTCACACTTCAGATGAGCTGAAAGAGAAAAGTTCCAGCAGGTAAACCCAAACCACATCAATGCCAAATATCCCCTCCTCTCATTGACTTGCTGTCTTTTCGAGTCTTTTCCTGTATCACTTTGTTCCTGATGAATAACTTGCTGAAAAGTTGAGATTCAGTCTGGCTTTACACAGACAGTAATGGATGCAGTGTGGTTCTGGACAATTTTAAGAAGAATAACTGACCATCGAGCCAGCCGACATTATACTCATTGAGAATAATCGGACTGACTGTGCTGTCTGTCGCTGCCTTGTTACCAAGTTACTGTTTCTTCATCATTCTCCATGTGTGCTGGGAGATTGCCACCATGTGCTGTCAGCACGGCTGCACATGAATCACTGAGAGGTTTGTTTTGAAAGGACTGGTGGGCGGGAGGCGGATGCCCATGTCCACAGTATTCACTTGATAGCCATTTACAGTATCAGTAATACAAGCCATACTGTAATTCAACCAGTACCTAAGACAAACCCGAGACTGAGAGTTTGGAAAAATCATGGGGGCAAGCATGAATTATTTCTGTGTCCATCATGGGTGGATAGTAACAAATGGCTTTTGAGCAGTGCTCTCCATCCTTTAGCAGAGTGACAACCATAGCAGAGTGAGAATAGTGTTATCACAGCTAAGAGCTAAAATGGCCATCAGTCTTGGCTGTGACTGTAGGTTTCAGGGATATACTGAGAGCTCATCCAGGAGCTGCGTCATCTTTGAGTTTCTGCCATTATTTCTTAATAATGTTTCTTCTCTCTCTACCTCCAGGGAAATACTCCTCCCGTGGTGGTGAACACTGACACGCTCGATGGCTCCCCATATGTAAGGATTATGTTTAATCTTCACTTTACTGTATTATTATGTTAGGCTCAACCACATGACTAACTTAACTGCCTCCATATTCAGTCTGTATTATCAGTAATTCCATTCCTTCCCCAGCATCCAGGTAGGTTTTGCTCATTGTTTTAATCTGAATGATAACAGTAATTAATTTTACTCCTTTTTTAATTAAAATAAGGTTTCTCTGTTTGATACACATTTGACAGAACAGAAACATTACTTAATTTGATTCAAAGTTCTTTAATGAAGCTGTTTCGAAATGAAAGCAGTGAACATATTATCATGAGTTGTAAGGGATTAGAGAAGGAGGCTTCTCAGAGAAAAGCCTGCCATCACAGACCAGTATTTCTGCACCACTACAGCACTAAGAAAAGTTGTTTTCTAGGTCAGACACCAAAACAGTAAAGTCTGAAGTTCTTTAAATTCACTCTTCCTCAGGGACTTGCTTAATTGCAGGGGTAAAGCTGATGTGTAGCTAAGTTGTTCAGCCAGAAGGTGAATTAGACTGAAAGAATAGTGCTGCTATTATCAACCAGGTACCACACTGGTCCACACATAAAGTATGTCAAAGAGGAGCAAAACCATTTTGGATAAAGCGTAGTGGACAGAACATCTGGTCAAGGGATGCTATAATTAACTTTTGATGATGATGCTGCTGTGTTCAGGAGCTGATGGGAAAATCCCTCATCCAGGACTTCCGAGTCAGTTAATGAATGGCAACAAATGAAGCCCACAGGGCAACTGCTGAACCAACATAAGCTGACTTTGGGATTTAGACTCTAAGTTTTGCTTATACTTCATTTGCACTGCAGTTAACTTGTATAATATTAAAAATAATTGTAAAAAATCGCTACTTGACACTGTGAACTAACATTCCTTTCTGGCAGGTGAATGGGACAGAAGGGGAAATCGAATATGAAGAGATCACACTGGAGAGAGTGAGTCTGAAAAAACGATCTTTTTAATTTGATCTTAAACATATTTACAGTTTATGTATCACTCGCCTGCAGAGCTACCATATTGACTATTAGTGGCTTTAGTCTTGATAGTGGAAAGGACAAATGATAGATCCTACTACACATCATTGTTCCGGTTAAATACTCCTGATATAATTTATAATCACTGTGTGTGTTTGCTTGTTTTTGATACTGCAGGGCAACTCAGGCCTAGGCTTCAGCATTGCGGGGGGAACAGACAACCCCCATGTGGGCGACGACCCCAGCATCTTCATCACCAAAATCATACCTGGAGGAGCCGCGGCTCAGGATGGACGGCTTAGGTAAAACCATACAGACTAAGTTATGTAAGATATATGATATTCAGAAGTCAAAAGCCGATGGGCAGACCAGGCTAGGCCAATTCGGGTTTCAGATGAGTGAAATGCTGCTCTACTGCCTCCATTCGCCCTCCCTTCTCTCCCCACCTTCCTGCACACTTGCTTTTTACTGAATCCACTGATAATGACAACAAGGCTCTTTTATACCAGCAAACTTAAGCGAGAAGAAACAACCTAAGTAGAACCTCACCTCTTAAGTCCAAAATATTGCATCACAGTACAGCATTGACTGTCATCACAGTTACATCAGAGAGGACATGTCAGTTCTCAGTGCTTCAACCAAACTTATAGCTTCTACTACTTTTTATGTGTCTTTCAACAAGATCAATATGATCGATGATCTTAAAAAGTGGTGTAGCATAAAAGTAATTAAACTGTGGCAAATGACTAATTCTAAAAGGAGCCCATTACAAGAATGTGTAACCATATCACATTTGTTTTCTCACTTTTATCAGAGGATATAATGCAGAGTTGGCCTTTTTGAATAAAAAAGTGCATTTTATGAGCCATTTTCCCAATTATACTGCAATAAAGAAGACATGTACAGAGGCGTGCTCCTCATCCTCCTCTTTAGAGTTGACCATTAAACGTCCATCTGGAATGACTTCAGTATTTAAAGAGAGCCTGGAGGAAATGCTCATATTTGCCTGAATGTAGATAATTCTTTCACATTCAAACACTTCAGTGGCCACTATGACTTATGTGGAATTGTTATTTATACTTTAATAAAGGTTGGTGTTAAATAAAAAATATAAATACAATATTGCCTCACAAACAGTTCAGACAGTCAGTGTAAAATTCTTTGGACAAAGATGTCAGCAGCCATTGGTTCCCTTTGGAGTTGGCTTCGGTGATATATCTCAGCGGTTAAACCTCTTGCAGGCCTCAGGAATATTTCAGTCTTAAAAAATGTTACACAGTATAATTTGCATGGCCATAAAATCAATTTTAAACACATGAATAGAATAGTGATAAGTGGAGTTTTTAGGCCCTTAGAGGAAGAGTGTGTACTTCTCAAAATAGCTCTTTCATCAGAATCTTGTTTCTCTTCTGCACACAGTCTGTCACTTACACTTCACATATCAACTCCTCATAATTTTCAAGAAAGGTTAATACAAGGAGAGATATACTGCAGCTAACCCTTGCACTAGATCAACAGCAAAACGGTTTGTACCCTCTTTACCAATGGATACTGAGGACTGGGGAAAAAAGCCAGATGTCTGTGGTGAAACCAGATCCCCAACACAGCAATAGTTGAAGACTGACTGCTCCTGACTTCGTCTGGTGGAGGATTACAGACGATTTCTTCACCAAAACAAAAACTCATCCGGTATTTTCACTCTCCCTCCCACTGTCTCTCTGTCTATTGCTCTCTGCATTTTTTAGTGTGAACGACTGCATCTTATTTGTGAATGATGTTGATGTGAGGGAGGTGACACACAGCCAAGCTGTGGAAGCTCTTAAGGAGGCAGGTGCTATCGTCCGCCTCTACGTTCTCCGCAGAAAACCAGCAGCTGAGAAAGTCACTGAAATCAAACTCATCAAAGGGCCTAAAGGTATGTGGAAGTGTGGACTGGTGTATAGCATCAATGCTTTTGTGTGGGCTTAAGGATGCTTTATACCCAGCTAAGCTGTGCCCTCTGGATTTAGCAAATCTGCTCTGTGTTAACCCATACCTCCTTTGCTCACTCTCTGCCTCTCTCCTCACTTCCTTTTCTCAGGATTGGGTTTCAGCATTGCTGGAGGGGTGGGAAACCAGCACATACCAGGAGATAACAGTATCTACGTCACCAAGATCATTGAAGGAGGGGCGGCTCATAAAGATGGGCGTCTGCAGATCGGGGACAAGATCTTAGCGGTCAGTCACTCATATGTAATCACTACTAGCATGCCCACACACAAACACATGACTAACAGCCTCACGCTCTCAGCTCTAAGCACAAGGACACATATTCACACATGCACACTCACACATTTGTGTGTATTAGCAGCACTGACGTATCAAGGGCCAGGATTAATTACAGTTGTTATGTTCATGGCCTGAATTTACTTTTATTAATTTGTGAATAGATGTGTAGGATGGAATAAATATTAAACAGCTGTACTGCCACAATGAGACACAGGCAGCATCACTGCCCTCTGCTGGAGAACAGGGAGACTGTAACGTAGCAGCTGTTGGCAAGCTCAACACCAGCAACTTCAAAATGGTGCTTGGTTTTTACTAAATGGTGTCTGAGCTCAAGCTTTACCTCTAAATGGGATATGGAAACATGCTTCTGCTCACTATTAATCTGTTTAAAAATACAATTACAATCAATGACTTAATTATTTTATAAGCTATAATGCTCTTTTTTTGTAACCTTAATACACAGTGCTGGTGAAGGGTAGTTGCATATTAGGGGCCTCCACCCCAGAGGGGAATAAGAGAGGGAAAGACAATAGTGGACCATATAACATTTTTTGTTATATTTTTTTAGTTTAGCTTATCTTTACAAGAAACCACCAGCTCAATGTTTACAGCAGATGTATTGGATTACAGTAGTAAATAGTGTTTAATGGTGATTTGGACTGTGATACTGTAGTTTGGGTATATGTCTAATCCATTTAACACGTTTCAATTTCTTTTGTAGTTTCTATAGTAAGGGAATGTAAACATTTAGCAGTTAATTTTACAGTATACCAACTTGGGTAGTAATTAAACTTAGGTCTACACTGACAAATTAGTTGAAGTTTATGTTTTATAGCATTAAAATGTAAATTTTTTTGTGCCTCTTGCACACATAGTTTGTTCATCCCTGGGATGATCTGATTGCTCTTGTTAAGAGCAACTGTCATTAACTTTAATATAAAAATGTCAGTATGAGGCATCCAGTGTCTTCTCTGGTCTGAGGTGCCACAGTTCCTGGCAGCTCCTTTTCACACAGAGCTTCGTACTGCTGCATTTTGCAACTGGTGATCCTGACTGTGTTTCCCTGCTTGTCATGAACGATCAGGTGAACAGCGTGTGTCTGGAGGATGTGATGCATGAGGATGCGGTGGGGGCTCTGAAGAACACAGCCGAGGTGGTGTACCTCAGGGTGGCCAAGCCCAACAACCTGTTCCTGACCAACTCCTACAACCCTCCAGACCTCACCAGCAGTAAGCCCCTCTGCTGAGACACTGGGTTATATGGCTAGTAAAATCAGACCAGAAAACTCTGTCACCAAATGCCCTGGGTTTGAATAGAAGTATTTCCAGAAATGCACAAGTGCGGAAATTTTGATTTTTTTTCTTCCGATTTAGACTAGTTTTCAAAAGTAGAGACGGCAGAGCAGAACTTGTTATTTCTAGATGACTGTGGGACTTCTGTGAAAATGAAAAGCTGAGGTCTACAGGTTCAGGGGTGTATTTTTTTCTAAGGCAAACATTTCCCTTGACCTGAATCTGCCTCTTGATTAAAGTCTGCAATAGGCTTTCATGGAACGATAACAAAAATTGTTTCATACTACACATGAAGAAAATATCACATCACACAAATGCATTTAGTTGGTGGAAAAGCCAACAGCCAGAAGTTTGAGCTGCTATTTCAGCTGAGATTGCATATCTGTGTATAGTACCCACCTGGTATATTATACCTGTTTTGTTTTTGTTTTGTTTTTTTGTATGTGTGTATATTTTTCCAGCATATTCCCATATGGATACTGAACTCAGCCACCCCAACTATCTTGGGTCAGATTACCCACAAGCCCTCACTCCCACTTCACCTAGTCGGTTTTCTCCTGTTCTGCATGGCATGATGGGAGATGATGACATCCCAAGGTGAGCAATGATCTTTTGGCTATAGCCTACATTTCTCACATATATTGATTTATTAACAGTAGTTGTAGTAATAGTAGTAGTAATAGTAATAGTAGTAGTGTTAGTGTTATTGTTTATGTTTGAGTTTGCATTGTGCAAAGTATTATTGATAACCTGACTGTCTACATTCCTCTCTCTGCCATGTGTTTTGAAGGGAGCCTCGCAGAGTTTTGATCCACCGAGGCTCCACAGGTCTGGGATTCAACATTGTTGGAGGAGAGGATGGAGAGGGAATCTTTATCTCCTTCATCCTGGCAGGAGGGCCAGCTGACCTCAGCGGAGAGCTGCACAAGGGCGATCAGATCCTCAGCGTAAAGACACTTTTATCTTCAAAAACTTGTCACATATACATTCATGCATCCTACAATTGCACTAAGTGTTTTTTTTCAGTTGTAGCTGTTAACAGTCATACTGTGTGTGCATCAGGTGAATGGTGTTGACCTGCGTATGGCCACACACGAACAGGCAGCTGCAGCATTGAAGAACGCTGGCCAGACAGTGACCATCATCGCTCAGTACCGACCCGATGGTACAGTGGCTTTACAACCGCCATGCATAACAACACACCTTCATACCAAGACTTTCTCGTGCATACAAATTTTCAAGATATTTAGTCTGGTCTAGTCTAGTAATGAGTCTTAGTAATATCTTTTTGAATTAGCGACAAAACAATGTCAAATCAGCTAAAAAAATCAGCTTGTTCTAACAGTCATCCAGTGGAGTGATGTGTCTAGTTTTTCTTTGTTACTTCTGACAAAGAGTGTCTGCTTGTTTGTGCTTGTTCGTTTATAAGCAGAATGTCTCAAAAACAGATTACCAAAAATAAGGTGGAAATGTAGGCAATGGGTGAATAAATAATTAATTAGTTAGTATTTTAAATTCTATTGGAAATTAAATGAAGTCTAATATCAGTTACATTTATTCAGTCATGGCTCAGGCGCTGTTAGTGCAATAACACTCTGTAGACTTCAGTAACTTTACATAAAATTAAATCAGTTCTATGCAGAGATATACCAATTTTAGATTTGGCGAAAAAGAGAGCACTGGTGTCAGATTGGTATGCTTAAGTTGAGGTAGCAGAATTAGTATCGAGAGAGAAAAAGCTGAACTGATGCATCGTTATTAGTTATGAAGCAAACTTTTCATGTGTGCTTTTATTTCTCTATTTCAGAGTACAGCCGTTTCGAGGCTAAAATCCATGACTTGAGGGAACAGCTGATGAACAGCAGCATGGGATCTGGGACCACGACGCTAAGAAGCAACCCAAAGAGAGGCTTCTACATCAGGTCTCACACTTAAGTACCTTTGGTACAATATGACACAGATGAAAGAGTGGCTACAGAACAAGACTTATGGGTTAATACACCCTTTAACTTCCATATAGTGGAGGTCCATAGCCGTTGGGCAACAGTGATTGTGATACATCTCTTCATTTACAGTTTTGGTTATTATAAAGAATTTTAAACATTAAAGCTTAGTTACTTTGATTGATTTTGTAGAGAGTTCGCTTGCGAGGTTATGTTAATAATCTGGTTGCAAACATATTAGCTAGCTAACAATCAATGCAGCAGGTTTAGGACCAGAGGGCTTCTCTTTTGTAGCATTGTTGTAGTAACTTTAGTCATAATACGAGCAAGACCAGCCATTCACCAAAGAGCTGTCACCTGTTGTTTTTAAATGTATAAACGAAATGCAAAACCTTTCTAGAGCTGGAATGCTGAGTTCTGAAAGTGAGAATATGATTCAGTCATCAGAGGGAATTTGATTTATAGGAAAATGTATTAACTGAACAAGTAGAATAACCTTCCACTAGCAGATTGTTAAAGAATGATATGCTCCCGTAGAAGCCTCATGACAGATGATGTTTTTAAGAAATACTGTTTATCCCTGAATTAGCAATACAGCCCTGCAGACAAGACTAGCACCTGCACTAGTCAGAGAGGCTCTGATGTTATGCGAGTTGAAGCCAGAACAGAGAGACAGAATGGCAAAGACACGGCAATATATGAACAAGAAATCACAAAACACTACACCTACAAGGCAGAGGAACATATACAGAATGTGATTATAAATACTGACTGATCATCAGCGAGCTGTGTGAGGAGAACAGGTCCAATACATTCAAAATGTTTTATGAACTAAGCAGCTCATTCCCTCTTAAAAGCCAATGAGTACAGTTTAATATATTTGGCCTTTTTCATTGTTTTAATTTTTAAAAAAGGTCAGGATTCATGGCTTAGCTTAATATACTGGTTTGATTCATGGCTTACTTTTAATATAGGGATTTTCTGAAATGTCCACAGAGAAAAATAATGCAACATTCACTAATGAGTAACTGTTTCTTTCTTAACAAACTCAAGTTAGGGCAAGCACTAGTCCAACACCAAGACAGGACTGGATTCACAATGTCCACACCAAATGTGTATATTAATAAATACTGTATCTAGCTATCTTACACAGTCCAACAAAGACTTGAACTCACCATGTACCACAATGTCATTCAACTGCGGCTTTACATGTGTTTTTTAGATTCATCACATTTACTGCCAATACTAAATTTAGTGAAAATACTGACAAAATACCATTGCATTACTGTGTTTACTGTGAATTACACTATAGATTTTAATATTCACTGTACATGACCATTTTCTGAAAACCCCTTAATTATAGTTAGTTAAGTAAGTTCAGAACTACTGTACATAAAAACATAAGCAATCACTGAAAGCAGACAAAATTATACTTTAGTTAAATCAGACAATTTTTGGTAGAAATGCCAAACTGCTGAAAAGACAGCTGCAGAGACCATCCTATACACATCTAACTTATGCAGAAATGCAAGTGAGGCAAACTCAAGGCTGTTTCAGCACCCTGAGCAACACCACTCCACTCCAAGCATCTACAGTCAAAAAGTAATCACATCAAACCAACCAACAACCAACCAGCGTCACATAAAATATGGTGGGACGGTAGTAAGTGAAGCTTATGAGAAGACTGCCATAGAAAGATAAATACAATAGAAATGATGTTCGTAATAATCCAGAAAAATCCTGCTAAACCATATCACACTACACAGTGAACAAGGAATATGCACCTTACCTTTGGAAGAACTTCCTGTGATTTCCAGTGTAAATTGATGATTAAGTCCTCACAGGGTCAAGGTGTACCACCAGTATCAGGACAATTCAAAGAGTTTGCTCCGGGTCTTTCATCCTGGATGTCTCAGGCCACATAGATTGTACCGACAGCAGCAGGAGCTCCAACAATGCTTCCTCGTAGCCCAGAGAGCGAAGAAGTATGCTGTTGTTGTTCCACCGCCATTTGATTGTAGTTTCCCTCCAAAACACCCTCCACGACCCATAAAGCGGCTGCTGGCATGTTCGTCCAGCGTCCTCTCTGGCTTCTTGTGGGTCAGTTTGATGTTTGTTCAGAAGTGCCGAGAAAACACTAGCTTCACTGAGACTGACACTGCCTGTTGTTTGCGGTTGAATTAACATAATGTACCTGCCCCGACATTAACTTTATGGATACCTCCCTTATGTTCGCTTCTGCTCATTTTAGCTTATTTTTTCGTGGTCAAGGCTGTGCGAGTGGAACACTCGTTGCAGGCATTCACTGGTAACAAAATAAATAGCTCAAGGCTCAAGGATGAAGGCTTGAAATAAAAACGACCGAAGAGCCGGTTAACTTTTCAGCGACAATTTAGCAGAATTCACGACAATGTTGTGATATTTGATAAATGCAAAATAAATAAAAAATTGGTGTTAAAAAAAATATAATTTCTGTATTTTTTTACATTTATTTATTTATGCATTTCTACATTTGTTTATTTATTTATTTATGAAATTCATTTATTTATTTATGCATTTCCAGCCAGCTTGCTGTGTTAGAGGATTTTCTTCATCTTTCTGAAAAGCTTAAACATATTCCTGTGGGTTTCTCTCCATACTGTCAGCTACATTGTTGTAGACGACTGCATTGTTTAAAAGAGTTTTATTCCTCTTGTTTGCCTTTCTCATCACTGAATTTTGACTTCCATGCAAGGTAACACCTGTTTGTGTATGTCAGTAATCAAAGAGGGTGTTTCATTTGGTGCAGCCTTAATACAATTACATCTTCAATTTGGATATTTCTTCAAAAGGCCAGCACAATATAAACAGTATGTGATGTTTTCAAACTGCCTGGAAATGTATTGCAATAAGTTATTTAAAATGCAAAATGCAAGAAGACTGTTCATAATATTGATGTTCAAGAGGTTAAATAGAATATAGAACAGTTTTTTATGAAGTGACTGATTCAAATTCTTTCATCACTCAGGGCTCTTTTTGACTATGACAAGACTGCGGACTGTGGCTTCCTCAGTCAAGCACTGGGCTTCAGGTTTGGAGATGTGCTGCATGTGTTGGACTGCGGAGATGAGGAGTGGTGGCAGGCCCGTAAAGTCAGCCCCCAGAATGAGGCTGAAGAGGTCGGCTTCATCCCTAGCAAGCTCAGGTCAGACACACATCTCACTGTGATTGAGTGTGGGAGGGGTGAATGACCTTTTATGGTGTTTCAGCAGTTGGTAAACACGTTGATTAAACTCAATGTGTAACTGCAACTACATATCGGAGTGATTTGGCTCGATAGTGACCTAACTATGATTTATAGAAAAGGTTAGGAGTTGGTTAATCATTTTTTAGTTTGATTGTTCATTTATGAACATTTGTTGGCAACAAATAAGACAAAATTAATGTGTAAAATCCATTGGAGCCATGATTATCACTCTCCCCTTTTCGCCCCTCTGTTTCCAAAAATGTAATGCTTAAATCTTTTGTCCTCATCCCTACAGGGTGGAAAGAAAAGAGTGGTCTCGTGTTAACACCAAAGAGAGGGTAAGTTCATTCAGCAGAGCTCTTTGAAAGACGCTGGTTCCCTCAGACTGTCTCCCTGTGTGTAAATTTCTGCTCTCCTTTCTGTTGCAGGACCATGGTCGAGATACCTTGAGCACTCAAGGTAATTAGTATGAAGCATAAATGTGTATTGTTCCTGATTTTCAGCAGATTACAGTTACGACTATTGAAATGGGCAAGATCTTACTGTTTTATTTTCATACACTTAATGTGCATGTTCACATCCTGTAGGATACTGTTTTGTGTATCCATTACGAGATTATTCCCAATTAAAGGTGCAAGTAGCAGTATTAACTATCAATAACTGCACACTCCTTAGCCTACCTTTATTCTACTACCTTTTATTATACCCACACATGCATGCATGAACCTAAATGTCAGTTTATAAAATTACATTTGGCTGAATGCTTTTTTGTTCTGTCTCCAGGGAGAGATAAACCATCACACAGTTATGAGACAGTCACCCAAGTGGAAGGTAAGGTCATAAAGAAGAAAGTCCATTTTTTTAAAGCCTTTTATATAAAATTGCACTTTTGTTTTGAGTTCCCTTTTCTGAATGCTCCTACTGTCTTTCTCCTCATGCTAAGTTCATTATGCGAGGCCCATCATCATCCTGGGTCCTGTGAAGGACAGGATAAATGACGACCTGTTGTCTGAGTTTCCTGATAAGTTTGGATCTTGTGTACCACGTAAGTAATTATGCTGTCAGTCATAGAAACTCTCTGGTTACAATTTGATGCCATTGCTGCCTCCTGCAGCCATTTTAGAGTGACGTCTGCGTAATGCGTCCCCTCTTAGAGAATTCATTGCTTTAATTTTGAGATTCTAATAAGTGGTGCGAGTGCATGCATTGCTTTTATTGTTTTGTTCTTTGCCCGTTAGACACCACGCGGCCCAAGAGGGAATATGAGGTGGATGGACGGGACTATCACTTTGTGTCGTCACGGGAACAGATGGAGAAGGACATCCAGAGCCATCGGTTCATCGAGGCAGGCCAGTACAACAGTCACCTGTACGGCACCAGTGTCCAGAGTGTCCGTGAGGTGGCTGAGCAGGTGCGCAGCAACATCTTGTACTATGAAATAAGAGTATGCAATAATAATATTTTGTTTTTCTAATCCTTTATTGCAATTGGTTATAATTACTTCCATTCATTGATAAATAATAATTTGCACTATAACAATAAGAGCAGGCAAAGGAATGTTATTTAAAAATATGCTGAATTTATCGGTGATAAAAAATAACTTTAATTTCTATTGATTGAAATGTTTTATAAAAGCAATGCTCCATTTGAGAAAATTTTGACTGATAAGCCACAACCTCTTTCCCCCCCCGCACATGTGCACAAGCAGCAGGGGAAACACTGCATCCTGGACGTATCGGCCAACGCTGTGCGCAGACTACAAGCAGCTCAGCTTCATCCTATCGCCATCTTTGTCCGGCCCAAGTCACTGGAGAATGTCCTGTATGTAAATGCAAAAGCTCTTCATGCATTTTAATGAAAGAAATTGAATATTCTGCACATCACGAACATATGTGTTACAATAGATTGTACATGATGTTAACAGAGAGATCAACACTCGCCTGACAGAGGAGCAGGCCAGGAAAGGAATGGACCGAGCCCTCAAACTAGAACAAGACTTCCTAGAGTGTTTCTCAGGTAAGCGCACACAGGAATGATGTCCACACACAGTGACAACACAGATGCCTGGGATTTCTGGTATCCTGCAGTGTCTACACACCCTGCATACTACATACCAGTGGATTTGGATTTGGAATATGGCAGCACCAGATAATAAATGTGAGCTAATACACCTGTGTTTGCACTCCACTATATGCTTACTCATAATCCACTTGATATCATGACAACATTTTGTAAACAACGTGTGCAGACTTCAGAGGGTGAGAATATATGCGTTTTACTTTATGACTTTTTTTTTTTTACTGTTTAAAGCCAAAAACAAAATATGCCTCCTCCGCAAAGATGAACTTCATATTTACATGTTCCTGGTATTGCTGAATGAGTAACAAGAAATTATTGTTTCCTTGGAGGACTCAGGAATTTTTAACATTTAAGAGACACATTTAGGGCAAATCACAGCAGTTGACAGAATATGAATGTGCTCTCTACAATTTATAACAAATCATGTGCAGCTGTCATATGTGACATTCTATCAGCCACTGAAAGAATATGTGTGAGACTGAATAAATATGTGGGAGACTTTGGAGACAGACATACATAATGTAAATGCGCCTTTTGTTAACAGTGATTTCACACAATATTGATGTACACAGATTATCAAACTGTATTCATAATGCATATTAATTGATTATTCCTCACACTGTCATGCAAACACGTTTGATAAACATCCATCTTTTTCTGCCTCTCTTTTCCTTTCCCCCCTGATGTTTCCATTTCTCCTGCTTCCTGCTGTCTCTCTTTTCTCTTTTATTTTGCCTCTGCCTGTGCCATTTCTTTCTCCACCCCTCGTCTTCTCTCCCTCCCTCACTCATCCTGCGTCCTGCTGTAGCTGTCGTGGAAGGGGACAGCTTTGAAGAGGTCTATCACAAAGTAAAGACAGTGATCGAGGAGCAATCAGGGCCTTACATCTGGATCCCCACTCGGGAGAGGCTGTGATGCTGCACCCGCCCAACCGCCCCTCCCTCACAACCACCAACCGACACCACCCTTCACCCTCACAGCCAAGCCAGCCTCGCCTGCGTGTCTGTCCTCCAGCAAAGTCAGTGCTTAGGCAATCACTGAGAATGACACAGAGAGACAAATGCATACTAAGACAAACACAGAAACAGAGACAAACACAGGAAGTGACACAGCGAGACAAAGACTGATACCAAAAAAGAGACTCTGAGACAGATGTGAACACAGTCATGTGTAATTAAACTGAAAGAGACTGAGAGAAAAGACTTAATCAGTATTCCACTTTAATGAGGCAGGACTGAGTATTAAAGCCCTGATCACACTTAGCATTAAAATGCATCTTGGCCACAAGTAGACAGCTCTAAATACAGCTGTGACTGCACCCAAAACTGGGGATGTAAATGTCATAAACACAGTTGATTTAGCGATGCCAAACAACTTAGTGTGTAATGTGTGTTTTTTCTCTTTAGATGCAGTTGCAGCTTCTCAACAGATAAACAAATCAACTCAAATGTGAAGCGGAATCCAATCATAAGTGATTACTTGAGAGATTTCTGATGCATTTTGATGCCAGGTGTGAACTACAGTCTATGTCATCTGGATCTAGACACAGTCTGGATATACTGGCAGGGCTTGAAAGAGAGTAGAGGGTGACCCAGCAGGGATGGACCCCGAGGTAGTATTAAGACCACCTCACCCTCCCCATCCCTCGGAAGTCTCACGCCCCCACTGAACACCTCCACGCGCCTATGTCTGAGATGGAGGTGCCCCAAAAAGACACCGACCCCTCTTTTTATATCACCTCCAGGCTTTCTCTCCTCCTCCTCCTCCTGTCAGCTCTGCCTTGTTTCAGGCAGGAAAGGGGGAAGACTGAGAACAGGGGGCCCAGATCCTGCTGAGTCCCTCTTGACCAGGAGTCCTTTCATGGCAAAGAGTCCTTTTTTTCGTGAATCTCTTCTTGGTTCTGGGTGTGAACCCAGACTTACACCTCAGTGACCAAGACTGACATTTGCTCAATCACCCATGTTGAATATTGCGAGGCATTATTTAAAGGCAGTTCAAATAATTATAATGATAAAAACTCATATGCTGAATTTGTGCATGCATCCTCAAAGACAATGGAGACAGGAGACAAAAACTATGGAAAAATCTGACTAAAAAAAAAAAAGAAAGAAAAATATAAAATAAAAAGAAAGGCAAGTAGGTAGGGTGTGTTCTCCTTCGCCACCTCCTGATTGTGGAGGAGTTTTTTTAGCATGTCTCATGAAGGAAGAAGAGAAGAGAGATGAGGTCATGAGACATGGTCATGAGAGGCCAGTCCTGAAGTCCTGAGCACAGTAGATGCTCTGACATCCAGTTTAGCCTCTGCTCTCTTATACACACACACACACTCACGCACCAACACAGAAGCACACACACTCACTTATCCACCGACACACACACACACATACACATACACACACACACAGACACAGACACACACGTAGAGTTGTAACCTCAGCTGTAACCTAGCACACTCCTCTACAGGGGGACTGGCTGTTCTGACCTGCTAGTCAGAATCCAGGATGAATGTTATCTCTCTAGGCACAAACAGCAGAGCTGTTAGCTTCATCGCACCACAGCCAACTCACCGATCACTCTTCCAAAAGAATCCCTCAGCCGCAGACGTACACACTGTTTCCAGTGGCCGCAGTAAAAGCCATGGCATGTGTGTGTGTCTGTGTCAGCTTGTGTGTGCGTGTGTGTGTGTGCGTGTGTGTGTGTGTGTGTGTGTGTACGTGCGTGTGCGTCTCCTTGTGTGCGCTTTTGTGCACATCCATGTGTGGAAACTCCTCTGTGTGGGAGGAATAGGTCTTCTTTTATTCTCTCTCTTCCACTTTTTCTCTGCTTCTTTCTCCCTCTTGTGTCCACGCGAATTAAATCTAAGTCATGTTTAACAAATAAATGGCCTATATATATAAATATAAATATAAATATAAATATATATATATCTTTTTTATGACAATTTCTAACGGGACTAAGTCTGTAAAAATCAACATCTACAAACAATATTCCATTGATTTCTTTGGGTAATATTGCTGTTTGGTTGTTGAATTTACTCACGTTCCCATTTTATTGTTGTAAGACGCAGCAAAAAGAAATAACTGAACCGTTCCAGTCGATGTAAAGCAGACCTCACACTAGAGCTTTGAATTGACAGAATTGACATGTTCTTGTATAAGAATTGAGACACATGTACAATGCAGCTATGTGTGTGTGTGTGTGTGTNTATGACAATTTCTAACGGGACTAAGTCTGTAAAAATCAACATCTACAAACAATATTCCATTGATTTCTTTGGGTAATATTGCTGTTTGGTTGTTGAATTTACTCACGTTCCCATTTTATTGTTGTAAGACGCAGCAAAAAGAAATAACTGAACCGTTCCAGTCGATGTAAAGCAGACCTCACACTAGAGCTTTGAATTGACAGAATTGACATGTTCTTGTATAAGAATTGAGACACATGTACAATGCAGCTATGTGTGTGTGTGTGTGTGTGTGTGTGTGTGTGTGTGTGTGTGTGTGTGTGTGTGTGAGAGACCGTGTGCGTGCGCCTACGTGTGTTTACTGCTTGTGTGTGCGGGTGACAAGAAGGTTTGTGTTATAAATACAATATATAAATGATGCTATATGAGAACATCTATCCTTTATAACATCCACTGGTGGTTATAATGTGTAATACATAAATGGTGTGGTGTGCATATGTGTGTGTGTGCCAGAGCGAGAGAGTGAGACACGCACATGAAGATGTAGTGCAATATTGCTATGATGTTATGCAATGAAGATGGTTTTACATGTGTCTAAGATATAAACAATAGAGTATTTATAAAGTTTGCACTGACGGCATTTAATGCTTCAGGTATCAGCAGGAAAAAGATGGTGAGTGAAAGCATAGGGACTTTGAGGTTTTATGAGCATGTGTTTGTATTTACTTATAATTTGTCCTGAATTATAAGAGTGATTATAAGAGTGAAGGTGGAAGTATTGATGGAAGTGACCATTCATATTTATTGTTTGTTTATTTTTGCTCACTTGCTTCTCTCAGCTCATGGTGGAACAGCTGAAGCCTGTGAATGACAAGTATCAATTTCTGTTTTTGGTCATGGTTTATTATTTATTTAGAACTGTCACTGGTTCCATCTCAAGTCTGTATATTTTTGTAATTTTTTTTTTTTTCCACATTGAGAGAGCTTTTGGGTTTTGGCCAGAAATGCTGTAAATATAATAGAGATGTTGGCGTGCCGTGTGGCTTTAGATTTAGCCGTGCACACTGCTGATCCGAATCCATCAGAGCCACAGCCCAGTTTAACTGCTCAAACACAGAAACAACATCTGCACACTGCGGGTGGGCAACACACACACACACACACACACACACACACACACACACACACACACACACATACACATACACACACAAAGATATCAGCACGTCCACACATCCATTTACATTTACACATTGAGAGAATCACAGAAACAACAACACATGGCAACACATCCATGAATGGAATAATATGTTTTCAATTTCTTTATTTGAGGGTTCAATGTATTTCTTAATATCTCTCTCAGCCATCCGTATCATAGTGTGATATTCCTTATAAAATATATGAATTTTTACAGAAAAGACTGATTACAAACTTACAACAAAGTCAACTGATGCAGAAAAATATATTTAACAATGACAATATCAAGCAAAATAAAATGTTCCAGTTCAGTGAAGCGCTTGTTGTAAATTAGCTATAAAATAATAAAATGAATTTAAAAATGCTTTCTGAAACTGGACTCAGCAGCCTTGTTTTTTTTTTTTGTTTGTTTCTCTGAGTTGATGATTTCATGTCTTACAGTTCCACAGGTGACGACTGCAAGTAAACAACAGTGCAACCAGGAGAGGGCGCTCACTCTCTTCAGTCTTCAGCCGCTTACACAAGCTCCTCTCAGCTGCATTTGCACATACTTGCTCTGTTTCGCTGGTCGCTCCCCCACCTCTCCCCCTCACATCAGGGGAACCATTTTCTCTTTAGAAAAGCACACAACCAGGATCCTTTCATTCGATTTCATGTTATGGCATAGTGTGTGTGAACATGAAGACTGTGTGCATCCTGCGTATATCCCTGTGCTTGCCTCCGACTTGCAATATATTTGTGTCGTCTGTACAGTTTGTAAAGGCACAATCTGTGATTCAGACATAAAGTGAAGGTTGATCCAACTATCCAACTTCCAGAGATATAAGATCTGATTTGTTTAATGCCCAGACAACTGCATCTGATATTCTCTGGTGCTGCTTGGTTATGGTTTTCTCATGTCATTATTACGCATAAGCAAAGGGTATTGTGGAGTCGGATGTATTAAGGGACACATAAATGCAGGATTAGATTTTTCTGAATTTATTTCCATTTTATGCAGTCAGAGACATTACTGACCTGCTGTCATTAGCAGCCTTTGCAGCCAGACTTAGTTCAAAAACACAGAACTTTATTCTCAATGCTAGAGTAAATCCCAAAGTTTCCTAAGATACTAAATATGTCAAACTGAATTGTGTTTAAATGTGTATAAAATGATGCACAAAACATGTAGAATATTTCAATCTGTTTGAATGGAGCAGACTTTAAAAAACATGGGGTATTGGGCTTTTGTACACATCATGTAGCTTCAGTGAAGATATCTTGAACAAGCTCAGAGTGGAATGAGGTTATTTTCCCACTTTAAACCAGCTTTAGGGTAAAATAGGAAATATCTATGTTAAGGTTTTTTTTTATAACTGAAGTAAAAAAAAAAAACACTTATCCTGTTCGGGGTCATGGTGAGGCTGATTGTATTTCACTCCTGAAGTTCAAAACATCAATCACCTGGTTGACCACGGCCCTATCTCTGTTCTTTTATGCCAGCTGAAAGTGATATAGAGGATCAGACAGAGAGAGGGGAGAACATCCATCAATGGTCATAAACAGGATTTAAACCTGCAAACCGGTAAGGCCTTGCAGCCATCACGTTACTTCCATGCACATGTTTCTGTTATCCTCTAGTCACCCATTTACAATTGTATGTGCTCAAATACAACGGGGAATGTAATGCATACCCACAGACTGGAGGGCGAGTGCGCAGTTGGATCCTAGAACAAGACAGACGCTTGACAGATGGATTATTGAAAAATTTGCCAAATTAAT